TTTCCAGTACCGCTGGCCTTGTGGCACTGGTGCCAGAGGGGAATCCTTCTCCTCACACTCCCAGCTCTTGAGGAGGCCCTGTCTGGGGCCAAGCTCTGGTGAGGGCCCAGGGAGAAGCGCCCTCAGCACCAGGAGCCTTTGGGTTGCCCATGACCTTGTCACTTCCTTGGCCTGCCTGCACCCAGCAGCACTTGGGGGAGGGACTGCGTTGCTTCTAGAACGTGGCATGGCAGTCAGCCACATGCAGCGCCGGGAACGTGACCATAGCACTTGCTCACTGCCACTTCCAGAAAGGAGCTGGGGAAGGAAATCAGGCTGGGGCGGGAGGTTCGAGTTCCCTGCCAAACACGCTCCATCATTCCGAAACCTTAACAGAAACAACAAGATCATAGCAATAGCCATGAGGCGGCAGGATCTGCAAGAGAGATGCATGAAAATACCCTCCTGCACTGTGCCTGGCTGCTGGTGCCCAGCTCCACAGGCCCTGGCAGCCTTGGCAGCGGGAGGGCACTGATGCTGGTGAGAAAGTCCACACCCCAGATGGCTTCCTGCAAGGCCCTGAGCGGCTGCCTGGAGGAATCGGGCACAGCCATGAGGAGAGATGTGACAAAGAACATAGGACCATGATGCACGGGCTCAGGGCTCTCAGGTCAAAGGCCAACCCCCCCACGGCCCTGTGCCTGGGTGTGGCAGAGGGAGGTAAGTCTTCCTCAAGGGGTGTTTGCAGCCCCCACGGACCTACTACCTTTGCACAACTCAGGTCATTTTAAATCTTCAAAACCCTGTGAAGCAGAAGCTTCTGCGGATGCTGGCTGCACCACCCCCAGGCAGTGCTTACTCCTTGGGCAGGGGCTTTTCTGTCTGTGGTCTGGACACTGGCTAAGGGCATCCTTTGTGACAACATCCTAACAGAACTGCAATGCCCAAGGAACACACAACCTTCTTGGTGGCCCAGATCCGATTGGCAGCCCAAAGTCACATCCTTCACACCAGGGCAATTTATGGCCCTGGGGGCTATATGGGCAAGAGTCCACTGAGTGTCCACTGGGTTTGGGGGCCACAGCTGCCACCCCTTTCTCTCACTTTTCTTTGCAAAAATTTGAGATTGTGTCCTCCTTCCCTAGGTAGCACACATAGTACAGTAGGTGACACACATACCTGGCTCACTCAGCAGAGAAGGCAAAACTGTGGGCATCCTCTTGCCCAGAGATGTCATCAGCAGCGCACGCTTCCCTGCCCACACCACTCACTGGTGCTCATTTCCAGCACCAGCCCCCTTGCCCCACCCGTGAGTGACAATAGCCAGTGCTTGTGCACAGCACCCCTGCATGTCCCAGGTAGATGCACCCTGTCCCTTGCTGAGGGGCAATTAGGTGGATTCCATTTCTTTATACAATAAACAGAACTCTGATGATATTCTTGGTCATGCCGCTCTGCACACATGCCTTGGAGAGATGTCTTGGTTATCACTACTGTCTTTATTGGTTGGCATGCCTTGGAGTTTTAGATGTTTGGAAATCTCCTGACGGTTCTAGCACTCCTGCAGGCAGGCTCCCTCATCGAGTTTACAGACAGGAACACTGAGGACCTGCCTGGGTCCCCAGGTGGCAGGACCCTGCCCTTCTAGTGCCACGTGCTCTCAGGGAGTCGGGAAAGTGCTCCCCAACTCAGTCAGGTCCCAGGGAACATGCCCTCGTGGACCAGGGTAAACCTGCTGTGGGCTTTGGCCCGGAGCTGAGCACAGCAAGATAGAACCACAGAGGTAATGAGAACGACCAGCCCATCTGTGGGCCACCAGCCCTGAGCCCTGCTCAACCTCACGGTTCCCGTCTTCCCCTGTTGGAACATGGTGAACTTAACTCTTGGACAAGCCACCTGTGGCTGTGTCCTTGTACTCTGAGGAGGTGGGACACTTCACAGACACTGGGCTTCCTTTGGTTTCTGGACCTGGCCAGGGAGATGACCAGACAAGCATGAGATTGCTGAATCAGGAAGGTTTGTGATTGTGTGTCCCCAGATACACTGAATCCACCCGCTACTGTGGCTCAGTCCAGCCTAAAACCTGGGCTACGCAGCCTGGGTGGAAGCCTGCAAAGCTGAGCTGGGCCTACTGCCCTGCCTGGGTACCAGGGATGGCAGAGGCCCCTGCTCTGCCCCAACACTGATCCCAAAGGCAGAGGGAAAAACTGACATCTTTCACTCTGACCGGCCCGTCCCCTGCCCCAGCATGGCATCCACAGGAGCCCAAAGGGGAAGAGTTTCCAGGGCTGCTGCTTTGCTCCTTGAGCCTTGGCTGCATGGTAGCTGCTGTCCTTTTGAGTTATGGATGAAGACCTGGTGTGTCTGGAGGCCACTGCCTTCCAGGGGTCAGGGGGCTGCAGGGAACCTGAGAAAATGCTTGCTGTGTAGGTTCCCCTCAGCCCCTGCAGAAGAGGTAATAGGGTGTGAGGATCTGATGGAGGCAGGGGCAGCTGGTGCCCAGATATGTTCACATGATCAGCCAACCCAGAGCCCAGACGGGACCTGGGCTCCCAGACAGGGTGGCTGGGAAGCCTCTGGCCACTGACCACATGGACCTGGTGGCTGACTCCCCCTGGACAATGGCAGACCAGGGCCTTGTAGAGAAATGTTTGAGGAACACCTGCAAAATAGCCTCCTTCCAGTTCCTGGGCCACTCCAGGCTGCTGTCCCTGCAGGGTCTGCCGTGACCTCCAACCCCATCTCCACTGATGACAGCACCACAGAACGGTGCCCCTCCTACCTCGGGAGCTCCAGGGCATGCTGGGGGAGCGGGACCGTGCAGGGGAGACTGAGGCTTATTCGTGCTCATCAAAAGTTACTGCTCGTCTCTGGGGTGGCCCTCAGAGGAAGAGCCCTTTGCTTCCCCTTCCCAGGTGCCTTCCACCTCAGGTAAGCACCTTGAGAGCCGTGACCATCAGAGGGCCTCCACCATGCCTGATCCAGCAAGCCACGGGGTGCAGAAAAGGAAGGGTCCCAAGGACCTGCTGGTGGGGTGGTGAGTGCAGAGGGCTGGCATCAGGGCTTGCTCCTTGTGGGTGACATGCACTTGGTCTTAAAAAAGCCACTGTGTGCTGCAGGGAAGCTGGGACTTGCACCGACCCACAAGCCACAGAGAAGCCACTTCGTCACTCACACAGTGTGGAGCTGAGGGCACAGGTGCTTTGGCATGCTCAGACTCACGCAATCACTTCAACCCCAACTCGGGCAACCAACGGCTCCCATTACAGAGCAATGTCCCTGGGCGGGCAGCGACAGGGCCAGGACTCAGACGAGAGGCTTGCCGGTGAAGAGCTCCTCCAGGTTCACAGCTGATGTGGTGGGGGCCAAGGAAGGCTGCCGCCGAAGGTCGCTGCCCCTTCTGTCCAGAATCCTAGGACATTCGAGCCTTCCTGGGCATCAGGAGAGTGGGCACGACCATGGGGCGCGTAACCCAGGGTGTGCTCTGGTGGATGGCCGGGCCTGCATCCCCACAGCTGGGCTGGAGGTTTTGTCCAGTAACAGGGCGGCACACTTAGGCAACAGCTTCCACCTGAAGACCTGCAGGGCCCCCACAGGACATGGCTCCCTGAGGGGCCTGTGTAGCTCCCCCAACCCTGAAACACCCACGAGTAGAGATCAGAGCCGTGGAGACCTGTGAGGAGCTTCCCAGCCCAGGGCCAGGCCAAGCACCAAACACTCCTTGTCTGCTAGTGGGCAGTGAGGGGACGGCGACTGTCTCAGCTCCTCTGAAGACCCCCAGAGGCAGGCTGGAGGAGATTCCCAGAGGCCCAGGGAGGGGTGGCTTTAGGGCAGGGCCCCAGGGCCAAGTCTGCACGGGGGAGAACCGACCACCCGCCCGCCTGCCTGGACTTAGCTGCAGGCTGCATACCTGCTCCCACGCCGCCTGCCAAGAGAGTCACACATGTGCATCCACTTCTCCTTGTAGCTATGGCAATCAAAACAGGCAAAAGCAACACTTTTTTGCACTATATCTCATGTTGGACACTGATATTTTCTCCAGCTGGGTTTTTCTTAATTTAAGTCAACAAATCAATCTGGAGGCCCACATATGCTAGCGTGTCGGATCCAAGAGAAATGACGCGGAGCAGAGGGGCTCCGGTGTGGGAGGTGTGGTGTCATATGGGGGCTGCTGCCAGCTCCACCCAGACCCGGGGTGAGAGGAGACAACTCTGCAGCCCTCACTCCTCCCAGGACCTTCTCTGGAAGCCACAGAGACCATGCTCAGACACTCTCCGTGGGACCAACTCGGAGCTAGCACAATCATCCCAGCCTCCTCTTGGATACCCTCGTGCTGTGTTCTCCCCTATGTATCAAGATTTGGGGACCCCTTCCTGCACCCTCAGGGCACGGAGGTCTACAAAGCAGGCCTCACTTACCTCATCCCCCACCCAGCGTGGGACTTCCGACACTCAGCAAATGGAAGCCTGAAAGTACATTCTTCACAGGGGTTTGGCTTTGTTTTCAAAAGGGCTCCCAACAACCCTGATGCCACACTGTACAGAATCGATCTTAATTACCAACCATGTGGAATTTTTCCTTGTGGCTTTTTTTCAATGAAAAAAACATTAATGAGAAACTTTAAAGGCTTGTTAGCAGTGTCCTTTCATCAATCAGAGGTGCTGTCAGGCCGGGCTCTGCTGTCAATTTGCACCTCTGCCCAGCGTCCACTTCCTACCTTCTCATCCACCTCGGCCCCACCCCCACCGCAGACCCTTGTCGGGGCCGCCCTGGGTGATGGAGGCCAGACCTTCTCCATCTGTCAGCAGCTGGAGCCGCAGGGTCCCGAGGACTCTGGACGGCCGCCCTTGGTCACCTGGAGACACATCAGGACCTGCAGTTTCTCTGGCCCTGGCTTCCGAGGGCCACCACCCCCTTGCTTCACATAGACAGAGCGACGCTGTTGGCGGGGGGCCTTCTGCAGAGTCCTGTTTCAGTCTGTGCTTTTCGAACTGATAAGTAAAACTGACGTGAACTTCAGCTTCTTGAATGCGAACTTTTAATCAAACACCGGTGAAGGAGAAAGAAAATCCCAGATGGCCCGAGGGAGGCCAACCAAATATAAAACCCCTGCCTGAGGGCCCCAGCCACCCTCTGCAACCCCACTGCCTCAGAGCAGCCAGAAAGGATGCAAACAAGACAGACGGAGGCCCGGAAGCAGAGACTGAAGGGCTCAGTTCCCGACTGGACTTCTAGGGGAGCCCACAGAGGAAAACCGCCCCCTGGAGTCCCACATTAAGCCAATTTGTCTGTCACCCCGGAGTCCTCCCCCATGCTGTCTGAAACCCAAACAGCAGCGGGATCTCAGGAAGCTCCGGGGGGAAGTGAATAATTTTCACATTGATTCAGCTGTGACTTCCTGCATGTCCCGATGGAGGTGAGGTCCAAGCTGGCACTGCCACCATGGTCACAGTTACGACAGAGAAGGTGGGTAAGACGGGAGGCAGGCGTGGCCGACGGCGCTGTCGGGTCCTCGCAGACCAGATCTTGGGTTACCTCGGAGCTCGCAGAAGTATACCTCGTTGCAAGGACCTCCCCAGGCAGCCTGCCCAGATGGCCCACACCTCCCGGGGTTCCCACCTCTCACAGGCCACCGGGGACTCCCAAGAGTGTGTGGGCTTTGATCTCGGTCTGCACTTTCACAGGAAGTGAGCTCTGGGATGACACTGGTGCTCACAGACCACCGAGGAAACACAGCCAGATGTTCTCAAGTGAACACACCCACACTGGACATCCTTTAGGCCCCTCGAGCCACAGGATTCAGGGTGACCAGGCAGGAGTGAGCAGCAGCAAGGAGAGAGATGTGTCCTGGAAGCACGAGAGTCACCTACAGGATCCGGCACACAGCTGAGCTGCCAGGGTTGTTCAGTAAGCCGTCTCTGCCAGGCAAGGAGCGTTGGGAGTTAAAAGTACCGTTCAGTTACCGACAGGGCCAGCCTGCCACTTCCCCCAACGCCTGCTGCCCACCCCTCGCTTCTAGAACTGCAAAATCACAGCCCCCGTCACAATCCCTCTTGCAAGAATCCTTCAGATTTCCTTGCACAATTAGTTTGCCGTCTTCGGGTGTGAGGAAGTCAGACTTACGCTGTCACTTCATGACATTCCTCAGGACGTGGTGAAGTGGGTGATGCCTGTGTGACATTTGTGTCCCTGACGGGAGACGGGATAAAAGCTCTCACACTTGCAAGCGTGGCCCCAGGAGCAAGGCGTGCCCAGTCTTGCCCCCGGCCCCCAGGGGCGTGTGAGGCAGCGCAGCCAGCCACGCCAGGATCTCCGTGTCAGCTTTCAAAGCCCCACAGTGCTGGCCGGGGAGGCCTGGCAGGTGAGGGGACCTGGGGCGGAGGCCAAAGAACACAGCTTTCTTGTTTCGACATTTCTTTTTATTTGGAAAATATTTTTGTATTTCTTTGTGCCTTTCCTTTGCCTCTTTATTTGCACAAGCTGCGCTGTAACCTTGAGCCGAGCGGCTCTAGGCAACCCGTGCCAGCGTTTCATGTCGGCCTCTGCAGAGCTTGTCCTTGCAGCAGTACATGGCCACGCGGTGTGAGTCCCGCTGCTCTGTCAACGGCCACCTCAGGGCATCTGTGGAGCCTGATATGACAGTGCCGAGGAGACCCTAGGAGACAGAACAGACGTGGCTTCTGCACTGCTCCAGGGCGTGGCCCAAGCAGGCGTGGCCCAAACAGGCCTGTCTGCAGGTCCGGGTTGCCTGAAGCCGCCAGGTCCCCTTGGTGGTGCCGACATGCTGGGGGCTCAGCCCTTGCTGGTCACACCGCCCCCAGCTCCTCTCAGAGCCTGGCCCCTCATGGAAATATGGAGGTTACATGGGAGGTGTGTAGGGCCCTCGGGGGCTCCCAGCCCAGGAGGACTCCTCAGGGCCATCTTGGGCCAGCCTGTTCAAGCTCACAGACAGCAGCAAGGCTGGGGTCTCCCACAGCACTCTGCAGCCACAGCGCCCTCTGTTGGAACGCAAGCACACAGGATGCACTGAGGCCATCGACCTGGAGCTGCATTTGGAGCCAGGACCCTTCTCTACTCAGGCAGAGGACAAAGGCAGCAATTCCTGGTGACTCTAGGGCAATGGGAGCCAGGTGCACAGCACACTGAGCTTCGGAGCCCAATGCAGAGGGCACCCGGCCCTCCCCACACGTCTTCCCAGACTCACAACGTAGACACAGACCCCTTTGCCTTCACAGTGACACCAGGTCAGAGAAGGAGCCAGAACACACCTGAGGCCAGACAGGACGTGCTCCTGTGTGTGCAGCTCAGGGTGCTGCCAGGGCTCTGTCCTGAGAAACCAGGTGTCTCAGACCTGTCCTCAGATGGTGGCTTGCCTCACTCCAGAGCGACGAGGACGACCAAGCTCGGGACAACGGTTCTGGTCATGCCACTTCACTGTGTTTGAGGAAACACATCCAGAGTCCATTTGGCCAATATAAGACAAAGATAGAATAAACGGTGGATTGGGGAGAAAGGGCCAGAGTTTGTATTCCTTGGTGGTTAGGTGACATGTAATGCCAAACACAGCCACACTGTGCACATCAGGGGCTGTGTGTCCTTCTCGGGTGGCACATGAAAACCACTCGAGCTTTCCTGCTGGGTCCACACTGTCACAGAGCCTGTGACAAACACAGTGTCCCCTGGACGGCCGGCTGCATCTTCCTTGCTCCACACCCTGAGCTACCGGCCTCCCTCTGTGTTTCAGGCATACTTGGTTTTAAAGCTAAAAGAATGACATGATCAAATGTCAGATGGAGCCAATGGAAGGCCTGGAAACAGTCACCACTGCTGCTGTTGGTGTGAGCCGACCACCACTGTGTGAGGTTGGACTTCCAGGCTCAGCTCTGGGGCCTACAGAAGCCTGTTCCCTACCGACATGCTGCCCAGAGAAAGGAAGAGCGCCTGGGATCTGGCAGGGGGAAAGCCTGCTCTCCCAGGAAGGCGTCAGGCCAGCCAAACCCCGTCTCAGGAGCGGTGCTTCCGATGTGCTTTGGAGCAAGGTTATTTTCTATGGTGCAGAAGGCATGCAGACCTGCCCCGCTCCTTCCCCAGTCGGGAAGGCAAGTTAGAAAGCCTCTACAGAGTACCAGCCTCTGTGGCCTGGTCTCTCCTTCAGGGAGACTCATGTGAATGCTAGGAAACACACGGGCATCACCTCAGTGGGGCAAATGCCCAGGAAGGACAGGGGAGACTGCTGGGTGGAGCCCACCATTCAGGGTGGACAGCCTGAGTGGGGTCCTGGGGCAGCCAGCTGTAGCCTGTGGGTGCCAGATGCTTCTGCCTTCCGGGACAGGGCCTCTCAGGCTCCCCACGCCTTCCCCACTCTCCTGTTCCCATTTTAACGGGCATTAAAAATGGAACAATGCCTGCGTTAGACAGGAGATCCTACGACACACAGGCCGGCCGGCCGTCTGAACTCATTCTGCTGTAAAGTGTGGAAACAAGAAAGGGCAGACGCGCCATGTCCCCCGGGACACATCCAGCTCTTTTAATACAGTGGTGCCACACGCATCCTGCTTCGGGTGCACCATTACATTTATGTGTCACTCAAATGTTCACTTCAAATACACACACTCAGTTTCGGTCAGCACCCTGGGAGCCAGTGGTGCCACCAGCTGCCTCGAGCCAGGTCCTGCCTTGACTCGACACCCCGCAATCTGGCTTCCCTGCCTGGGCAGCCTCGTGGGCCAGCAGCCACTCCTTCACGGATCGTCCTCCTGTGTAGTTGCCCAGGGCTCCACCGCTGCAGACCACTCTGTGACATGGGACGAGGATGGGGACCTGGAAAACAGAAGGCACCACCATCGATCTGGCTGCAACCACGAAGGGTCCAGCACCCACCAAGCAAGATTTGGCTGGCTGCTGGCTGCACCCCTGCCCTGTACCCCAGTCAAGCCGCGTACCTCTGGGTGCAGTGAGCAGTACATGACGTGGGGCTGCTTCGTCACAGCCCCAAGACTCAGGAGGAGAAAACATCATAAAATTCCATTTCCAAGATCTGGGGAGATGGAACCTCGTGACATTTGGGAGCTCTAACAGGAAGTTTCAGGGAGGATGGTCTTGACAGGCCATGTTCAGTCCAGGATGGTGATGCCACCCACTCCTGGTTTAGTAAATAAAATTTTATTGGCACACAGCCACCCCTTTGGTCCCATGTCATCTGTGGCTGCTTTGCCAGGCTAAAATATCCAATGTGGCTCTTTTTAGGCAGAGCTGGCCAAGGTCCACACATGTCCATGTGCTGGGACATATTACCCTCCTTTGCCCTCTGGGTACCCAGAGGAGCCTGAGAGGGGCCAGTTGCCATTCTAGTGCCAGCCCATAGGCAGCAGGGCATGGCCAGCTGGTCTCTCAGTCCCAGCAAGGTGCCTAGACCCAGTGCTGTGGCCTCTCACAAAGACAGTTTGGGGAGACAGGGCTGCTTAGCTCTTTAGCCTGAGGGGAAAACTGAGTCCTTACACTCTCATCTCACACCAGCATAGTGCCATCAAAGGCAGGCCACCTGCCAGGGAGAATAGGCCATGACACCAGACGTCTCTGCAGGTGACCGAGGCAGCGATGCTGATATAGTGCAAGTGTGTGCGTCTGCTCACAGGCTTGGATCTGTGTGCTCTGAGCCACGTGCCCAAGATCACCAGCAGTGTGAGAGGACACCACACGGGTCCCAGAGGTAGGGCAGGCAGGAAAATCCCAGAGTGCCCTACTTGTCTCAGATGGCTCCCCTTGGAGACAGGACCCAGCCCAGTATTTTCCTGGCCTGGGGTCAGCACCATGCAGATCTGTGGCTGACATTCCAGATCCAAGGTTCCCGATGCCAAGAGCTCATGAGTGCAGGATTCCAGGCCAGGCTCGTGGCCAAGTGGCTGTGTTCACCACTCCTGCAGCCACACGGGCTATGATCCTGTCTGAGACTTCCCTCTTTGCAGCCCAGCCCACCAGGAAGAGAGAGGCCCTGTTCTCTGCAGAGGGCTACATGCCTTCTCCAGCAGTGGCCCTCAGGGGCAGTCTGCCTTGGTCCTTGTGCTGGTGGCTGGGCTGTGTGGACAAGAAGCAGTCCACAGTCAGCGGAGGCCGGGAAACTCTGGCCTCAGCCACGCTCACTCACAAGGGAGGGAGGGATGGGAATGCCCAGCTCAGCGCCCTGGTGAGGGTGCTCTGATGCCTTCAGAGAGAGGGTCTGTCCATGCCTCTGGGGAGGCCTGAGCCCAGCCACTTGGACTGGAGATGGGGGTCTGATTCTGGCGACAGTTACTGGAAGATGCTCTGGCCATGCTTTTCTCCAGTCTTGTTCTAATCCTAGTAAAGTTAATATATCTTGGAATCCCCCATCAACTCCTCATTTGGCTCAGAGTATAGGTAGAAAAGTCAGGGATATAATTTATAGTCCCCTGAAATCCACTCTGGTCCCCTACGTCTGTCTGGTTGGTAGTGAAACAGTTCACACTCGGCATACTGTGGATAGCCACATCTACAACTGTGTAACTGTCCCCAGTCTGGGGGTACACGTGTGCTGACTTCCCAGAACACTGGGGGCTCAAAGGCCATTTTTGCTTAAGGATCCCAGCAAGCTGTTCTGAGAAGAGCTGCCGAGGACCAACTCCTCAGGATGGCTATGTGGCAGGGGCTCAGCACAGCCCCATTCCTGTAAGGAAAGGTCTGCCGGGAATCCTGAGGGGACAGTCTCAGTCGTGTGCAGCTCACTGTGACCGGGGAGAAGAGCTTGGGTCCTCGGCCACCAAAGGCTCCAGGCATGTGGTGATGTTGCTCCATGAAGAGCAAACTTCAAGAGTGCAGCTACAGGGACAGGCAGCCTCTCCAGAGGTGGGGCAGGGCTTAGTGCTCATTCTGGAAAGCTCTGAGCCATCCCGACACAGGAAGGTGCACAGCAGGTTCTGGGTTGGAGTGGGGCTATCTTGGACATCCCTAAGGCTCCCTATCCTGAGTGCCCTGCTGTGACAGGAAACAGCCATTGCAGTAGGACCCCACAGGCAGGGGCTCCCAGGCTGCCACTGGGACCAACCCGACTCCTGCCTTCTGTCCTCCTTGCTCACCCCGTGCTCAGAGCTCTGCAGCCCTTGTCTCTCCCCACCCCCTGTGGTGAGTGCACTGGACAGAGTGGGGAGCTGTGGGGCACACCCGCCCAGAGCCTCTGAGCTTTGCACCTGGAACCCTCTGCCCGAGGCCCTGGGAGCAGGCCATCCTGTTGTCATCCCACTTGCCAAGTGTGCCCCTCGGGGCCCATGACATAGGTCCCAGACCCATCCTGGACACTGTGCTTAACGAGGTCCCTGGAAGCCCTGTCTGGCTGGGCACAAAATAACTGGGAAGTCACGAGCCACTTGTAGATTCCAGCAGGAACGAACTTCATTCCCCAGCCCACTCGAACTCTACGGGAACTCTGTGAGAACCCCTCGGGAACTCAAGGGAAACTCCGCCTCGGGGCCCATGACATAGGTCCCAGACCCATCCTGGACACTGTGCTTAACGAGGTCCCTGGTGCCCCTGTCTGGCTGGGCACAAAATAACTGGGAAGTCGCGAGCCACTTGTAGATTCCAGCAGGAACGAACTTCATTCCCCAGCCCACGCGAACTCTACGGGAACTCTGTGAGAACCCCTCGGGAACTCAAGGGAAACTCCGCCGGAACTCAAAAGCAGCGGGCACCCGAGGCAGCAGGAGCCGCCCCTTCTGGCAAAACGCCAGGCACCATCTTGACCTGGCCCTGGCTCCTGCAGACCAGGTGAAGAGCTCTGAGTACACCCAAGCCAGGTATGAAACCCAGGCCACACAAAATCTCTCACCCGGGTTCACACGGCTGCTAAGAGACAAAATGTGGCTGAAGCCACGCAGACCTGCCCTGAGGGCTCCACGCATGCACTGCCTCTTCTCCGAGTGGTGGTGGGACCTCGTGGGCTGGTGGCCTGGGCTGGCAGATGATGGGGCCTGGCTTGACTACAAATTGTGGGTTAGCCTGTGGCATGCAGCAGCTGACCCCAACCTTCTTGGAAGGAGCAGCAGAAAACACTGAGAACAGATACTTACTCTGATGGCTTTCACCAGACATAGCAGTCAGTCACTTTAAAAATTAGTTCGAGGACAGTATTAGATAATACCCAGTTCTTAGTTTTGACTGAAAAAGAGGTAGGTGTGTAACTCCATCTAGTTTATAAATATTCAGGCACAATTCCAAGCTCTTACCTAACAGCAGACTTCACAACTGAGCTTTGATTTTTTTTCTCTCCCTCTTGATGAGCTATGAGATTATGGAATCGAGTAAGATGAGCCGCCACCCCCTCCCTCTTCAGTGTATCAATACAGACACTGGGACGGATGGCACAGAGCAATTATGTGACAGCTAGGGCCAGTCTCTGTCTCCAGTATGCACGGATAGGGAGCAGGTGACCTACCAAACGTTACCACTTGAAACAGGGACACTGCTTCTCATCAGTTTTGGTGGCAGGTTTCCGACTATTACAACAATGAAACCCACTAAAATTTATTGGGACCCTGAGGGCATTTTCAAAGGATCTGCACCCTCTCGGCTCTCTTCTTTAAAGCCTGTGCTGCATAAAATGTAATTTTTATCAATAAGCAAGAAGCTCATAATATCACAGCTGCATTGAAATCTTCATGCTGTGAAATCTAATTCATCCAATACGCGAATCCATCACTTACGCAGACCCTTTCTCAAATGCTATAAAACTTCCAAACCCATAGATTTGTCTCCAACAAAAATAACATGAAGGGGCCTTTCAATCAATAATGGAATCCCTCTGATTCTGGAACTGGCTGAGTATTTCTTCCAACTTCGCCTTTGTTCTTCTGGGCAGAGCCCACAAGGGAAAAAGCTTGTTTTCACTCGCAGCCTCATCAATACCTAAATCCTGGTGAACAAGTGACACGGAGAAGCTGTAATCAATAGCTCCCTGTGCGTTTTTTTCTTCTGGTCAAATGGTTCAGCTCCACTGACAACCCTGACACTTAGAACATGATGCTAAATCTTTATCAACAGCCATCTGGGTGGCTGGCAGAACAGGACTCGGGGGTCATCAACGCTCATGGTGATCTGCGAGCAAACTCTCTCCTCAGGAATGCGTTTGTTTAAAAAAGGTGGGAAACTCTCGAGCTTGTATCGATTGCCTCCGAACTGCATTTAGCAAATTCGGTCTGAGGATGGAACGGAAGGGGGCGTCGTGGCGGGAAGGCAGATTCTTCAATTCTCGTCATAGGCAACTGACCATCCTCTGGTGCAGGGTGGGGTGCAACCTTCCTCGAAGGTGGCAGGTCCTGCCTGGACAGTGTGGGACAACTCAAGCTCTAAAATGGAGGTGACTCCCACACCACAAAACCATCCCCTACTCTGGATGGGGGTGCTGGGGAGGCCAACCCATGCCAAAGACCAGTGCCGTGACACGCACTGGTCCTGTTTTCTGAGAGCCACCGAAGGAATGGTTGCCGGAAGAGCTTCCCGGTAACACTCCGAATCCCCTTTCTATTCTCCAGCGCACAACTGTTGTGCTGAGCCTGATGTGGGACGGGTCTCCCGTGAGCCTGTCTTGACTTGGTGGGCGGTGGTATACACAGTGCCATGTCAGCTTAGCTAGCAGACACCCACTGAGGACAGGCCACCAGGCCTGGCTGTCTCTAATAGGGGCATTTTCTCCCTTAAACCTTGGGCTTCCTTCCGACCCTCCCAGTCCAATTAAGGAGGCTTCCAGTGCAGCAAGGAGGGAACCTACCGCCCTGAGCTGCCGTACCTGGCACAGCTGCAGGTTATCTTCTCCAGCATCTTGGGCACACCTGTGTACAAACTAAAGCTTCTCAGGTATGGTACCTGCTGGCACTGGCAGAAGCCTGTAGAGGGCCATGGAAGAGCTCCCCAACATTGAGGCCACCCCTAACATAGGAGGGTCAAGGATTCAGAGAGTGAGAGACAGGTGCCCAGAAAACCTTCCCTCTGATTCACTGACACCCCCTTTCCTGGTTCAGCACATGATGGGGACATCCATATGTGCTCTTTGTGGGCATTAAGAGTTTAAAGCCCGGTGAGACCCTATTTTATAAATTTCAGTGACTGAGGCTGTATCTGAACAGAGACGTTCATAGAGATTAATAGCAGGGGAAAGCCATGCTGGTTTGCAGAACAATAAATGTTTCTGAATATTGCCAGGAGCAGGTCACTAAGCAGTCACAGAATCTCCATCACAGGGTGTGAGGAGGGACTGCTGGCACCACAAAAGGCAGGTGGGAGGTGTGGACAACCTGTGAATGTCAGTCATGGGAGCACGCTTTGGCCATAGATGAAGCCAGTTGTGTACACCAAGGGAGCAAGGAGCACTGACGCGTGCTATGGGACGGCCTCCACCTTCAGGTGTGCAGAAGGAACTGTACAAAATGCCCATTTTCACTGCCCCCCATATTAAATCACCTGGTTGGTTCTGCTTCCTGCTGCAGGGGAGGCCAGGGAAATGCACAGCCACCTTCTCTCTGGCCTGGTGGAGGAGTCAAGCCTCCGTGGGGGAGAAGTCAAGGACCCACTGCACCCAAGGGGCATGCAGAGGAGAGGCATTGCCTTCAGGGGACATGCAGCAACGCAGAAGGAGGCGTCAAGAGTGTGAGCATCCTGCGCTCTGGAGGAGTGTTAATGGAGCCAGAGAGCAGCAGCATCCGAGCTGCCTCTCCTACCGCAGAGCTCAAGGCTTCAAGATTGAACCATGACCTGGAAGGGGGAGGTGGCTTTCCAAAGCCAGGATGGAGAGTGGGCTTTGTTGAGATGTCAGAAACCATTTTCAGACATCTGATTCGGAAGCATTCCACAGGCCCTGTAATGCGTACCTCCGTGCAGGGCCAGTGGTATGGCCAGTACCCACAGCACACGCACCTCAAGTACAGGACAGAACACTGAGCACCACCCACCATCACCACTGAGCCCAGACAGCAGCGGAGCAGCAGGAGGTGATGTGGTTCATGTGCATCTCACACCATACAATTTGGGGTATTTCAATATGGCAGAAAATGTCCCCCGATGAGGGTATACACTGAGACAACGTGCTCCACCACAAACCCACAGGAGCTGCCTCTTCAAGAATAACAATGCGTCTTGTGCAAAAGGGCTATGTAATTGCCATCTCCTAGAGACCAGAGGGCTCTGCCCTGGGGCTGCTGCAGCTTGTGGCAGGAACGGCCACTGTGGTGTGAAAACGCCTGCTTCTCCCCTGTGAGCAGGGATGGAAACAGGTTTGAAAACACTGCAGAGGCACAGCCGTGTTTTAAAAAGTGAGCTCTATGGGACTGAGTAAGTTCCCATCCCATGATGCGATGAGCAGGGCTCTCCCTGGGAAGGTGGCCTTCTTCTGTCATGTTGGAGACCCCTGCCGTTCAGGGAGAGGCAGACCTCTGGAAGGGGCTAACAGGTGGGAACATTCCAGGGGCTCTGGAGTGGGGTGGCTCTTCCTGCAGGCTATGTGGACAGGGGACCCTTAATGTCCACCATTGGGTTCCAGTCCTTCCAGCCTGGCCCTCTTCACCCACTGCATGGAACCAATCTTGCCCACTGGGAGGGGTGGAGGCCCGATGGAGAGTGGGGGGGGCTCAGCACTGAGCACCCCCACCAGTGGCCCACTGGTCCTATGAGATCAGGACAGGAGACTTCTCTTGGTCTGAGAATCTGGTGCTTGGCAAAACCTGTCTAAGACTCACAGTGGTGACCGTAGGGAGGGGCAGTCCCGGGAGCCGCTGCCTGTGTACCGTCAGTCTTTGGTGAGATAGGGTCTCATGCCCCCGAGGCCCAGGGACCCAGGGTGTACCCCGGGGGAGGTGGGGCCGCTCTAACGCCCAGCCATCCTCCTGGAGGGTGAGGGCCACATGCATGGCTTCTGTGTTCTGTCTGCTGTGTTCTGTTCTGCACCTGGAGTGCTGGCCACACAACAGCACCACACACCCCGCGGTGCAGTGAAGAAGTGAACAGGACCTTCCACCACCACCCATCAGGTCCTGCCCTCTTTCGTGTTTGCTGGGATGACGAGGGACTCAGGTAGCTGGGGCGCAAGGACCTGGCCCAGGCGCCTCTGTCCTCCACCCAGGTGTACCTCATCCCGGCACATGTGCGTCATCATCCCACCTGCCGGAACTTACAGGATTGCTTCTCATGGCTCCTCCCACGGCGCGGGCTGCTCTGGGGTTGCCTGCCAGGGCTGCTAATTGCTGGTAAGAAACCGTTTCTCCGAATTTCACAACCTTCAGCAGCTTCCACAACACCTGTCTGGTGAAAGAGTCTGAAAGGAAGAATACAGATGACGTTATTTGTACAAGTGGTGCCAGCAGCTCTGATATAAATAGCTGCAGTCCGGGGTCAGAAAATGCAACGACACAAACAGAGGTGTTATAGTCGATTAAAAGCTGGCCTCCGCACTGCGCGAGTCATCCTGGCCAGGCTGGCACAAAGCAGGGCGCGGCCCCTCTGAGCTCATGCAGGATGGTGCTCCACGCTCCTCCCGCAGGCGGCACCTGTGTGTCGGGTGTGGTTCAACCAGGGATCGCCAGGGTCCCTGCCAGCCCACCTACCGCAGACCTTTTGGATGGCTGGTTAATTTCCAACTCTAGCTGGGACACAGAGGAAAGAGCAGCCAGGGACGGGCTCTGTGTGACATCACGCAAGCCGTCCTTCCAGCAGTCAGCCGGCTGGAGTCACTGCTTCCAACGCCAAGCACCATGGCAGCAGGTTGGGTGGCGTCCTTGGCGAATAGGGCTGCAAAATTAAAACAGCTATCCCCCTTTTAACTGATTCCTCGCATGACATCAGACGCATGGGTGATGACCTGCTGCTGGAAGGACCAGCAGAACCCTCGGCCACCTCTGGCCCTCCACCTCTGGGCTTTAGAACCCTTTCCAGGGCGGGAGCGCCTCGGGCAGAAACCTGGCAGGGGAGCCTATTCTGAGTCATTACGTAGGGCCTTTCCAGAAGGGACCGGAGGCGGCTCAGGAGCACTGCGGACAGAGCTACGTCCTCCATCCCAGGGCTTGCAGCGCTCGGGGGCAGGCGCGTGTGAACCGCGACCACCAAGGGGAGGCCTCCTCGGGCAGGAGCACTCCAGAGTGCCTCCACAGAGCCCCAGGACTCCCGTGCCAGGCTGGCAAAGTGCGATGTGGTTCTTAAAGGAAACACACCCTTACATGCATGTTAAATAATAAAAATCACTTCTTAACTGAAGGGAACGATAATCACTTCACTGGGAAAAAAAAATCTGTTTAGTCTTTATTATAACATTAAGCAAATTAAACATCAGCATAATCCAGGTGATGCTAGAAAAGGGTCATCAAAGAAATTAACTTTGTTGTTCATTAATTTACATGGATTAGTAGAGGGCACAAAGATAGCAAATGTGCTCTAGTTTTTTATGATATAATTTCAAACTGTACACCATTTGTGGCAGGAGGGTGACTTTGGGGTTAATCAGACTGATTTGTCCTTTTAATTGCTTTCTATTCAAAGAAAATTCATTAGATAATGTTCTCTTCAAAATTCATGAATCAATTTAACTGAAGAAACCGCATTAGCAGCTCCGAGTTCATTAGCACGGGTTGTGGGAGTGCCGAGCACTGGGAGGCTTCCCTGGGCAAACAGACTGTTTACCGTCGCCCCTTCAGAAGGGGTCTGAAGTCACAGTGCTAATGGTGATTGTTACTGATGTTGTTACGCTTAACTCAAAGAAAAGGGAACAGGAGAAGAGGCAAGGTGGCGGGCGGCCGAGGCAGCCCGGTGCCACTTGGGGAAAGGGATCTCCAGCGGGCGGGCCCTCCTGGCAAAGCAGCAGCACCCGCAACCCTGGACACAGCAGAACTTAGGGGCCATGCCCCGCCCTCCGTGGAAGGCGCAGGGTCGGTGGCCTGTCTTCTGTGCTCTGACCTGGGCAAGGGCGTGGCAGAGGTTTCTGGGAGAACAGACTGGAGGTCTTCCCTAAACCTGTCCAAATAAAGCGTGAGGTAGGGAACCCAACCGGAGCAGAGCCATGCCAAGAAAGAGAGGGGCCACTGAGCTCTCCTCTGACACAGGATGCCAGATTCCATAGCACCTTTCTAGGTGGAAAAGCATCACATAAGGAAACCATGGTACATCCACATAGGAGCAGATGTATCCAACATGCTCAGCTCATTGTTGGCTCATCATGGAATAACCATCTCTGAACAGGTACACACAGTGTGACTTATTAGGCAGCATAGCTCAAAGAATGCAATACATCACAACTGAGCATATCTTATCACAAATGTATCTTAAAATTCTGTTTCACCCTGAAGGGAGCAAGGGTGCTAATTAGTTTGTGCACCTCTCAAAGGCAAAGCCTCTAGCCCCTGCCTAGGCACAGTCAGACGCTGTACTGCACCAGCATACAAGCAGGGGCCAATGCTTCCCGGCACATCATCCTACAGTGTAGGAAAATTTGCTCATAAAAATCAGCACACATCAGTGTGGAAAATAGAATTTGGTCTTGAAGGACTCCATGTCCTCAGTGGCCCAGTCATTTTGGGTGGCTCAAAGTACAACCACTGAAATACCATCCTCCTCCAGTATGGCTCTCCGGGGAGTGGGCCCCAGTGCAGTGAGAGGCGGTCTCTGCATGCCACCTTCTGGTGTTCCTTTCCTCTGCTCCCCACCCCTTCTCCAGCCTGTTCCAGGCTCCAGGAACCAGGCCGTGTTGATGTGGCTGGTCTAGGCGGCCTCTGCTGCAGGCTGAGTTGGGTCTCAGAGCTCCGTCCCCTCTCATTTGGCTCGGGTGGCTATTTAGACACACACTCTAACTAAATCCACCTGGACTGTGCCTCGCCAGCTGGGAGGCTGGAGGCTGTTCTTTAACCCCAGGCTTAGGGGAGCAGTGCGTGGTGGCCGGGAGTTCAAGGTGGCCTGCGGGTGGGCCGCCAGCCAGAGTGGCTCTGATAGGGCCGATGGCACGATGTGCCAGGCAGGCAGGGGAGGAAGCAGTCAGGGGTCAGCCTAGCCTGGCTCTGCTCTGCTGACCTCAGGTGAGTCCTTTCTTTGTCCTGGGCATTTGTCCTCCCCTGTGGTGGCATCATGGCAAGAGCCACCTCATCAAACAGGTGCCGCAGAGGGGCCCTCTGTCAGCTGTCCTGTCCCTGATGCTCTTCCCTGGCCAGGCTGCAGTGAAGGAGACAGCTAAGGTGCACACGCCACGTGCCAATGCAGGCCCTGCTCAGGAATCATCCCAGCAGCTGGGCTGTGTCCACGCACTTGGCTGGCCACAGAGACCAGCACCCAGTTGCTGCAGAATTCCGCACACAGTCTCAGCGAGCTGGGATCAGGACTCCTTTGGAGCAGGTACGAGTCCTGGCTATTCGGCCTGATGATGCCTGGCCATCAAGAGCAGCCAGAATAAGCCTCTGGAAATGAAGTGGAGCAGAGCGATGGAGGCTCTGGTGCAGGTGAGATGAGGCGGCACACTGCTCCCGTCCCTTCCCCCGAGCCCCTTCCTGGAACCTGAGCACAGAGATCAGCAGAGTCTAGAGAAGGGGACCTGCCCCACGCTGTCACTCTGAACATGTGCCTCAGCTCTCCCCAGCAATCCTATGGTGGTGTAGTGGCATCTGGTGCCCAAGAGCCTAAACCCCTGAGAAGGAGACGTCCTTTCTGATGGGAAAGTGTGGCCCTGGGAGGTGGCAAAACCCTTTGCTTTTTCCTCTCTGCTGCTCCACCCTGACCTGGGCTCAGTCACTGGAAGTAGGTAGCAGAGCTGGGTTCATTAAGCCACACTTGTGTGTCGGGGGACTGAAAAGGAAGCCCTGAGAACTGGAAGCTATGCGGGAGATTGGAAGAAGGAGGAGTCTTTCAACCAAAAGGTTGTTTACACTTTCCTGTGTCCAGGTGAGCTGTTCACATGCTGAGCTGTGCACAGGTGGTTCTGACCGTGAACCAAACTCTGAGAACTGGTATAGGGTTAGGCACTACCAAGTTCAAACTGGGTGTCGAATGGTACACAAGTGGACAGATTGGAAAGGGACCATAAATGAGATGGACACGGAAATCACAACCCACAGAAGGCCAGGTGGGACCTATGGACTAACTCTAACCAGGCTGATTATCTCCTGAAATCCAAGTACCAACATTACTTATGGGATTTATGGAAGATCCAGAGTCTTATTCGAGATGATCAGGTTTTAATACAAAATTCCTAAGTGTGCAAACAATTTGAAAAATCCCAACTTGCTGGGGAAAAGATAAATTGTCACTTGCCAAGGCTGAGCTGACACAGAAGTTGAAATCGTTGGTAAACACATTAAAGGATGTGTTATAGAAATGCTGCAAGAAGAGAAAACACTCTTGAAACAAATGAAGACCCAAAGCCTCAGCAAAGAAACAGAAGCAAAGGACCATGAGGTAGAAAGTTTAGTGCTGAAAAATAAATAATCCACATTATAAACCACTCTTCATGGGATCAGTCCTCACAAAACACGTGAGGACTCCGCAAAGAAAAGAGAACAGATAAATGGCTGCAGCCAACCCCAGAGACACCACCCAAGCTGGAGAGAGAGAACATGTACTTAAAAGACCAAGAAGAGTCTTGGGGATACGTGGGACAAAGTTAAAAGACCTAGTGTCCATGTGACTGGATTTCCAGCAGGAGAAGAGAGAGTGTGGGGTAGGAAAAAAGCCAGCAAGCTGGATGTCCCCAGTTTGGCAGAAGACATCAACGACAGATTCAAGAAGCACTGCAAACCGCCAGCAGGGCAAGAAGTCCACTTCCAGACACATGACGATCGAAGGCGGAAAGCCGAGGACCCAGAGGAAGCTCTTCAAGGCCACGGGGGAAGGAGCTCATCCCAGGTGGGGGCAGCCATCCGCGTGGCAGTCAGAACCCCGGCTGGGGGCGGCAGGCGGCACTTCCAGTGTCTTGAGAGACCAGAACTGGCAAGTCAGAATTCTACCTGCAACTCGAGAGATGCTCGAGGAAGGCAGCTGACACGGAGACACTCAGATACAACAGAAAAGCAGAGGAGATTTGCTGTCAGTAGCCCTGATCTTCAGAAGGGCTAAAAGCAGTTCTTTAGAAAGAAAGGAAAGGGCGCCAGAGGGCGGCCTGGAACTTCAAACAGGCAGAATGGAGAGCCGCAGCCGCCATGCTTTTCAAGTTCTTCAAAACATGCAGCGCAGGGCGCGAGCGCACAGGAGGCCCTGCAGATGGTGCTGTCACAGTGGGCGAGGCGCAGGGCCACGCCGGGCCACGCTGGGCCACGCAGGGCCACGCTGGGTGGGTGGAACACACAA